AGTTGGCTCCGTCCACACTGCACTGGTGCCTGCCAATCCAATGTCTTCTTACAGATCATCATCCAGAGATGCTTTTTACTCCATTCAACCTGTTTTTACAGTTTGTCAGCCTGCTATGCATGGTTTTGGGGAGGTGTTCCACACTCTTAAAATATCAATAGAACACCCCCGGACAAATTACTCATTAATGTCACTCTCATAGATAAATTGCTAAAATGACGCACATTCACACTGACTTAAGCCACACAGGTTTGAAGTGGGATTGCTTGCTTTATTTGCTGCAATTCTGTGGCAGTGTGCCCAGATATTTTTAATAGGGAACTCTAGGATTTGCTACAGTTAAGAACACCTGGGTGGATTTCATCACTTCACAGAGCTGCTGAGTAACCAGCGTGACACTAGGGAACAGGTCTCACCAAGTAAGTGGCCAAGTGAGAGGGAGCAGGGCAAGGTCTGGGGACCACAGCGCCACCGAGAAAGTGACTACACCAGGTGTGACCTGATGTCCCACAGCTTAAGTCCCTGCAGCTCACACCGGCCAGGTCATCAGGCCGACTGTGGGCCCCAGGGCCGCAGCAGGAAGCGCTGCACCAGTCAGTGGCTTCTTTTGCTGTTTGACACATTAGGTAAGCAGCCGTGTGGGACAAAACGCTCCTTACAAATTCAAAGTCTGTTTTGGGAAACGGTTTCTTCAAGTCTTTGAATATTTGCACAAATGCTCAAGCTAGTGTTCTGCCCATGAACATTTGCTGGTGTAAAGTCTGTGTGTGAATGTCAGGTTGTTTTGCCTGCATTTTCTCATTTACTCACACACACACGTGTGTGTGTGTGTGTGTGTGTGTGCACGCATAGTGCTAGGGATGGGACTTGTGTGTGTGAGGCGAGTGGTGCCACTGAGCCCCACGCTCACACCTCACTTATTCTTTCAGCAACCGTGTAAGGCACCTGGTGGCACTGGGAATGTCTTGCAGATGAGGTGAAGCCAGAAACTATAGCTAAGAGAGGGTGACTTGTCCCCGGTCATGCATCAAAGAGTGATGAGCCCCGGTTCAAACTCTGACTGTCTGAGCCTGCACTCTTACTTACTATGCTAAAAAAAGCTGCTTGTCAACACTTTCCTACTCTATCGTAAAAGCCACACAGAATGTGATCAGCCAACAGCCAGCGACAACAAATGCACGGCGTAATTACTCGTTTGCAATATTGGAAGTTGAACTCAGGGCCTTTTTACTGAACTACATCACCAGCAGTTTTTAAAAATAGTGAGACAGCATCTTGATAAATTGCTCCATGGCCCAGACAGACTCAGAATTGTGATCCTCCTGCCTCAGCTGGGTGCTGGGATTACACCACAGGGATAGATTTTTTTACAGTTAACATTTCTTTGTTCACTGGTGTGGATTTGTGCTGAGGATTAAACTCAATATACATTGTTAAGTTGGAGTTTTCATTAATTTTTGGGGGAGTGCTACAGATGGAACCCTGGACACCATTCCTTCTAAGCACATTCTTTACTACTGAGTACACCCCCAGTCCTCCAAATTTTCTTGAAGGACAAGATTTGCAGGAATGGAAACATATACTGCATTCCTGAATGAAAACAATGCAAAGTTATGTTCAGTTCACACCAACCTCTTACTAACCCCGAGCGCATTTCATTTGGGTTAATAAGCACACGCAAACAGCCAGGGCACTTACACAAGAGGGAAAGAAAAACTGTGAGCCCTCGAGGATATGCAAACATGAAATACAGCACAAAGTAACACTTCCTGCCAAGTGGGTGTTCAGTGAATTTGAGGAGACACTTGGAACCTTATATCTTATACCTCTTGCTATAATTGCAGGTAATTTTCAAAAGGAAAAACAAAAATCCAGGAAAATATAGGTCAGAGTTATGTAACTTAAAGGAGGAGCTTTGCCAGGAATCCTGTGATGCACAAATCAGAAAGTGTGTTAGAGAAGGGTGGATTTAACAGTGAGACAAGCTTGAAAACTCAACTGACTTGAAAACACAAGGGGCTGGGGAGATGGCTGGGGCAGGGGAGATGGCTCAGTGGACTAAGCGCTTCCCTGGCAAGTGCAAGGGCCTGAGTTCAATCCCCAGTTCTGCCAAAAGAAAAAAAAACCCAACAACACAATACACTAATCCTAGAAGGGAGGGAAAGTTCTTGCTGTGTATATCATAAGCAAGAAATTACTATTATTGGGAACAGGGTATAGCTCAGCACAGAGAGCTTTCCTGCCTGTGAGAGGCCCTGGGTTCCATCTCCATTTAAAATTATCAGTATTCTTAATAGCCAAACCAATCATAAGATAATTGTTCTATTTTCAACATGAACAAACATCAATACATTCAACCAAAGAATAAATTGAAATTACCTCTTATCATTAAAAAGTTTATTCTTCTTAGCAATGAAATAAATGAATAAAAGTAATAAAAGTGCAAACTTGGTACAATTTTCACCTCTGAGGCTCACACAAGCTCAGGTCCATCCTGGACTACAGAGTGAGACTGTGTCAAAACAAAAACAAAAACAAAAACAAAAAAAAAAAAGAAAGAAAGAAAAAAGAAAAAAAAATCCAAGATGAAGAGGTTGGGAGTAAAAGAATTTTTTTTGAAGAGAAATGTTGGGAGAATTCAAATTATATAAAATTTCTAGGGAAGGGGATAATTTGATGAAAAGGATAGTTTGACATTCTGACTTGTACTCTTATAGAGATCTGTGTAAAAGTAACAATTGGAGATATTTGTATAAAACAAAAATTTTATATTGGAAGAATCCTGAATGTTTATTTTTAATCTAGTAAGACAAAGAGAGCTATGTAGCCACTAAAAAGGTGTTGTGTGATATTTAGATGCGTATGTAAATTTATGTGTGTATTGTTCATTTATTCACTAACTGCGAGCCGAGGGTTGACCCCAGGGCCTTTGCACATGCTAGCTGCATCCTCTGCGGCCCAGTTTCTCCTCCGGCCCCAGGCAGTAGTGTACAGCGTGTGATCGAGTGACGACGTCTACACCTGCGTGAGAGCAAGGGAAACCCAGTACAGAGCCCTGTGCACACCACAGCCTGCTGTGGAGAGAGCGAACCCCAGCGTGCTAGCGGTGGTGACGCCACCTGCTTGTTCACTTTGCTGATTCGTATTTTCTCCAGTGCCTGCGGACTGGTTTCTAGCAATTAGCTCAAAGTCACTTCTGCTAGATCAGCTGGGCACGGATCAGTGTCCTGGGGAAGGGCGCTTGGCCCTGCTGGCTGGCTTTCTACTCTCGCTGGTTAGAACGGCTGAAATGTCAAGGTAAGGCCAGGAGAGGGACGCCTGCTGCTCGGGGGCTGCTCTGTGGAGCGGACTCAGGATCTTGGGAACACTATGTTGCTGCCACCCGGTTTCCAAGGGACGAAGCAGAATGACTAGCCTGGCGGGAGGGCGGCCCGGGGTGGCAGCGTGGAAGGGTTTCTTAGCGTCTGCTCTTGCTCCTCGGGGTAGGGGTTCTGGGAAGCCAGCCAGGGCCTGGTGTACGGTAGGCAGGTGCTGCACACAGAGCCGCAGCCCTGCCCAAAACATGTCTAAACCTTCCATGAACAGAGCCGCAGCCCTGCCCAAAACATGTCTAAATCTTCCATGAACAGAGCCGCAGCCCTGCCCAAAACATGTCTAAACCTTCCATGACACTGCTTCCATTTCCAACAGGTTTTTCTTGTAAAGGTGATTTTTTGTTCTCTGCCTGACTCAGACAAAACCCTGTTCTCCTCCTCTTTCCCACTGTTCTTTCCTGTGATCACAGCTCTCTCTTGGCCTCAGAACATAGAAACAAATAGCACACACGCACATGCACATGCATGTGCACACACGTGCGCGCACACACTCACGTACTCACATGCACTCACAAGCAATGTCATGGGTGGATCGATCTCGGATCTATTATCTATCTAGGAAGCAATCAATTCATCCATCTGGGTTGTTTCAAAACCTTTTTGGAAACATGTCTTTTTTTTTGGCAGAACCAGGGATTGAACTCAGGCCCTTGCGCTTGCCAGGCAAGCACTTATTCTACTGAGCTCTCTCCCCGGCCCTAACATGACTTTTGTTTGCTTTCTTTTGTTTTTGAAATGAGGTTTCCCTGTGTGCCCAGCCTAGCCTCGGGCTTCTGGGCTCCACTGATTCTCCTGTACCCGTGTCCCCAGTAGAGGGATGACAGGTACACACTGTCGAGCCTGGCTAACTTGAGGTGTCTCACTGAGTTGGACGTTGACCTAGCAGCACACTGGATGTCATCTGCTGCAGCCCATGCTCTGTGGTGACACTACACCTATTCATTTCTATTGTTCCAGTGCTTCCTTGGAGGCAGAATTGACTGAAAATAGTCTTGCTCGAATTTGAGGGAAGGGGTCAGAGAACTAAAGAGACAACTAGGTAAAAAAGTCCTGGGTGGAGCCACCATCCCACTGGGGAAGGCTTCGAAGCCAGATATCTGGCAGAGATAGCCAAGTTCAAAAGGAAAGTGCAACTCAGCCAACAGCACAGTCACGTTCAAATACCAACTCTCTAACTTCTGTGCACGCACACCTCCAGACGCCCGACGCCTGAATGCTAAGTGACACCGAGGAAGCACCTCCAGGTCCTCTTGGGTCTGCACACGCTGCGCTGCTGAAAACACGCCAGGACCACCGACTCTTGAGGGAAAACAACATATGGAATTTTTTTAAAAGGCAATTTGGCATCTCTTCATAGAGAGTGGGATTAGATTTAATTAAAGGGGGGAACCCCCAACTCCATCTGGCTCTCTGGCCTTAGCAGCAGGGAGCGATGTAGCAGGAGGCGGAGAGGGAAGGATTCTTTCTTGGCACCATGGGCTTCCTCCCCAGGGATCAACAGAACATTGGCAGTGGCCTCTGTTTTGGTGATGGTGAGCGGCATGGTCTCCACTGTGGTGGCGTGACCACCCCTCCATGGCATCTTGGTGACGCACCACTGTTCCTTCTGTTTTTGTTTTCTTACAGTGACAGTGAATCGTAGCTCCAAAAGGTACTCATATTTTCCATGAGAAGTCGCCCCCGGAGGGAGCCTGCTGGGCCTGCCCACGGAGGACGGAGAGCATGCAGCTTAATGAATTTCAGATCCACATGAACAGATGAACTGTCGCCATGTCTTGTCCGCATCTCCTGTCCCCTGTCGTCCTCAGAGCTGCTCAGGGCTGAGGAGGAGCCACAGAGGGCCTGGTCTTCCCTGTGAGCGGCCCCCTCCTCCGATACCCCATCTCACACAATCTGCCCCTCCGCTTGTTACCTTGCTCCTTCATTCCTCAGGGTTTAAATCAGGAAGCCGTTGTATCTATGGCTTCCTTCTGGGTCAGCTTATAACCTAAGCAGCTTTGGATCATTTCCTCTCACTATTCAAGAGCTCTGACAAGCTCTTCCTCCATTCAGCAAGACCTTGGCTCCAGGAGGGGGAGGTCCCCGGGAGGACCAGGCCAAGTGTGGGTCTCAATGTCTACACCACCCCCGGGCAGCTCGCTTGCTGTCACCAGCTGAGAACATCAGGCGACAGAGTACGCAGTCCTGAGGAGATGGCATTGCGTCACTCAGACTGACGCAGCCGCAGCCTGGCCGCCTTTGGGGAATTCTCGAGGAACTAGAAAGCTTCCAGAACGAACCAATGGTTTCTTGCTCGGTTAAAATCGCCCCTGCTGGCGACCCTCCCCAGCACTTTCGCCTTTCCTCACAGGCTCCTGGCCTGTCGATGTGGGTAGCAGGTGGGTGCAGGCAGGAGTCATTTGTGACCTTCTTATTCAGAGGTCTTTGCACTCTTTTGCAACCAGGCGGGAAAGGGGGCTCTCTGTACCCTTGTCGGGTGCAGCTGTGCTGCCGCGCGTTCTTTCCTGCCAGGCTGGGACATGCCTTTTCCCAGCATCCCATGAGGTTGCTGTCAGTGCGCCAGTGGTGACCTTCTGCTGTATTGGTTGATGTTCTTTTGCTCAAAGGAATGGTGTGAAATACACAAGGACCCATAAGACCGCGTCCCTCGCAAAAATCTGTTTCTGCTGAATCCTTAGTTTTCTGATTCTCACTTTAAAAAAATAATTCAATGAATGGAGAGTCCTCAGCTTTGTTAGGACCCTTGATATTTTATTCCAAGAAAGACACAAAAACTGAAGACTTTATTTATTTTGCTAGTTGCCTCTGATCTGAGAGGAGAGGAAGTTAACCGGACCTTCGCTGCTGAATGGGATTGTGGAAAGGCTGCCTTGGTGCATAACAGAAGCCCCTCTCCTGCCTTCTACCAATCCACAAAGCAAGTGCTTGCTTTCTGAAGTATGCAGATAATTTTAAAGGCAGAGTTTCAGGCCAAAGAGGTCTCTCCATCCAATTGAACAGTCCCATTATCTGGCTGTGTTTAACTACTGCTGTCATGCTCCCGTGGGGAGCACAGAGCTTTGCCAAAAGGCAGTCACCCTGGCCAACCACTGGAACAGAGCTGTCTGTCAGCTTCACGTCAGCACGTCCTTACACGGCTCTTTACATTCATCACTGTTTTGCATACTCATAAATCACCTTATGATCCAGAAAGACTCTTGGACATTTATGCCAAAATGGATGTCTCCTGAATCGTCATATCTTATCTCTTTTATATGTGTGTTTGCCATTTTAAGTTGGTTTCTCTTTCTCAGAAGAGTCTCAGTTTGCTTTTCTGGGTATCTAAGATCTTTGCTGAACACTCAGGCCTTTAACCTTGATATGACCTTATCAAATAATGAACTCTGGACATTCTCAGAAGTATAAGACGGGGTCCTGGAATCTCATTTGATAAAAATTGTGTGATATAAAATATTTCTTTCAGTGTTTTAAATAACTTCAAATTCCAGAGGAAACAAACCTCAGCAAAGTACCATTGAGTTTATATCTGAGAAATGTACAGATGTCTATAAGTTACTCTTTAGACAGGTATTTATTCTGGAAAGTTCCATGGAGTTAGTGTGGGTGAAAACAGCCAGTAAACAACCCTAGCACCCAGACATCTTTTTATTACTGTCCAATTAGTGTGTACAGTGAGTGCATTACAATTTGAAGAGTTGCTTCCAATGAAACTTAATTTTATGTTTCAGATTTTATGTTCAGTAAAACAATGTTATTAATTTACCCTAATTGGAGAGCCAATGAGAGTATAATCTGACTTTAACATAGTTTAATGAGAGAAGTTTTATTGCATTTTTGTCCCTCTAAGCAGACCATGTTAAGGACACTGCCCAGTGAACCCCCCCAGGAAGCTGTTGTAGTGTATGAATGCTGACTTGTGACTCCCCTCTGGGGCGGCATCCACAACCAAGCACAAAGCCTGCATCAGTCCTGACATTGTGGAGCAGCAAGTGCTCCCTCTGACTTCCGTAGCAGTGGGAATAATGTCAACATAAATGCGTGCTTTTGAAAAATACTTTTTAAAAAATTTTTGGTGGTTTAACCCATCAATTTATGCTACCTGTGGGAAAATGCCTCCCATTGAATAAATATAAAACATAGGTATTAGTTTCATCTTCTGTCAGAATCAGAGCAAATTCTGAACCTATTGGAATAAGAAGACACAATGTCCCTTGGGAAGGTGTTGCTGCAATTCTCCTGGTGGGGAAAATATTGAAACTTCACACTGAATAACACATGGGACTTTTTCACGTGTACAGGACACTCAGGAGGGACTCTGGGGTTTCCATGTAATAGCTATAAGCAGTGGGGGAGGCACACACCTGTAACTCTAGCACTCGGGGAGGCTGAGGCAGGTGGATCGTGAATTCAAGCCAAGCCTGGGTAGGTGTAGCTGCATGTGAAGGCCGTGGGTTCTCTCCCCACTGAAAGAAAAAAGAAAGGTAGTCCTGAGCAGCACCACTCGTAGATGCATTTCTGCAACCTGCTAGTGTCCAGCAAAGTGCCTGCATATTAGGGAGAACTGGAGTCATTCTGATTGGCTATTGATAATTGTATGCTCAAACAACCAGTTACTTCAATCTTATTTATTTTTTTAGCTGCACAGACTATCTTGTTTGGCATCAAAATTTGATTTTCCTTGGAGTCCCCTGGGAGGAGAGGTTGTCATTCTTATGCACCTGTTTTGTCCCCTACCGCCTTTTCTAAGTAATGCATCATGCTTGTGAGATAGCAATAGCGATTCATACAATTATGTTACATAGAGCCTTTTGTGGATGCTGTACATGAGCTCAGCTCTGCTGGAAATGATGCTGTATTCTAGGCGGTTAGATTCCTGCACCAAAGTGCTTCAGATAACTTGAAGATGTTCACTTCAGCAGTGTGCACAGTTAGGAGGATAACGGTGATGTGCTCAAGAAAACCACGGGCGGGTGGGCTTTTGTTTGTTAGCTTTCGGTTGTGCAGAGGGCTTGGGAGCCACGTTCATGTCACATGATCATCCCCGGCCTTTGGGACTTGGCCAATAGGTACCGTACCTGGGTTTGGCAAACAGCGAACAGTGTATTCTTTGGGTTTCATTTCCTTGGTCTGCATGTGCAGGGCTTAGTAAGCGAGTGATATGCATCTTCTATAAACATGAGCAACAGTCTTCTCAGTGTAGCTCTCAGCTAAGAGTGATCATTGTGTTCCTCGGCCTTAGATGGAAATGTGAAAACTTTGCATCAACAAGCTAAAAATAATCTTATAGGTCAATAATAATTGAATACCATGTATGTCTTGTATTTAAAATTAACTGAAAATAACATTAAAAAATGCTGGGTTTGATTCTCATAACTACTAGGAAGAATGTATGCAATGTGTTAATTATTGAAACTGTCCTACCAATTTGGTTTGAAACTGTCTCATCGCTATTTGTTTATCAATAAAATTATGGAAAAAATAAAAATAAATTTTAAAAAATAAAATAAATAAAAACAATGCAGTATGGTTTTTGGAGGTCAGATGGACTGCTCGCGGCTACGCTCATCACTTTACTTTCATTCCAGCTGTGCCTAAATTCTAGCCTTCAAACCTCACGGAAGAATTGCCCCAATGCTACTGATTAGGACTGGCTGGTAAAACTATCAAAGCTTTAAGCCTGACTGAGAATTTTACTTTTTTATCGCCTATTTTTCATGCTGAGAATAACACATATAACAATATTTTCTTTCTGACTTAGTTTTATCAATGTCAGGTATACAAATATGTATATGTATAAATTATTCTCAGCTCATTGTTGAAAAATAAAAATAAATAAGCACATGTCCATAGGCTAAACTGTTTACTCAGGAATTATAGATAGAAAAACATTTATAAACTAAGTACTATAAGAGAAAAATATTTCCTTATTACTTTCTGTGTAATGGATCCATATCAATACTTAGAATAGAAATTTGAACTAAGATGTTTGTTTACTGAAATCTTGTTTACTAAGAATAAAGGGGTGAGTTATACATCTTTCTCAAGGAAAATCTTTTTAATTTCTGGAACCATAAAATGTAATGTTACCCTCACGATTTCAATGTTTTCATTTATATACCTCCTTAAATAAATGCAATGATACCAAAAAAAGTTCTTACAGATTTGAACTTGCTTAATACAAAATTATTTAACCAAAAAGTCAAGTGGATATTCTGTGTATCTGTAAGGTACTATTATCACCTTTATTCTTCCTTACAGAACATTTTTAAATGAAGGAATTAAATTTTAATTATGGACACGAGATTTAAAAAAATTTTTTTTTCAAAAATGAAAAAATAAATCTTCAAGACAAAACCTTTTCTTTGGGCTGGGGAGATAGCTCAGTGGTCTAAGCACCTGCCTGTCAAGTGTGAGGACCCAGGTTCAATACCTGTTATCACATGCTGTGCAGGCCCCAGGAGTGGTGGCTCACACCTCTAATTCCAGCACTGGGGAGGCTGAGACAGGAGGATCACTACGAGTCTGAACGACTTGGTGAGGCCCTATATCCAATAAATAAATAAAAAAGAAAATAATTAGAGCATCTGTCTTCTTCCTAATTGCTAGCTCTTCTTCATACTTCTCATTTAATTTCATCCTCCACGCCTTGATATTAGAACATAGCATGGGCGAATAGCAGATCCATAGTGCAGAGACAACATAAAGAAGCCTTCCCATGGGACCCACTCTCTTGGGTCGCAGAGACCCATCTGTACATTGATAGCCAATGGACAGGAAGGCTCCTCCTAAGGACCCAGCTAAGAAAAGTCCAATCTGTTTCAGCATCCTTGTTCCTCCAGAATCTGCACACGGTGCAAGTACTTCCTAATTTTAGGTTTGTCAGAAGCGGAACAGACCAAGCTGGTGACGGCTGGACCACAGCAACAGAGTCCCACAGTGAGAGAAATGTCCAGGAGGGAAGTAATCCTGACTGGCGTTTATTGTGTGCATCCATCAGGGATTGACTTCACCCTCTCACTGCAGAGGCAGCATAATATAACATTGTTTTCAGTAGGGAGTTTTTCTTTTGCGGTACTGGGGATTGAACTCAGGACCTTGTATTTGTCAGGCAGGTACTTAAGCCACTGAGCTATCTGTCTGGCCTAAGAGGCTGGTTCTCACACAGGAAGGACACTGAGGTGATCTCCATGCTCACCTGGGACCTGGTGCATTCTGCCACCCCCAAGTGCTGGGCTCCACCTGAGGGTCTCCACAGGCTCCGGAAGGGTGGCCCTAACTGCAGCATCACATCACAAGGAGAGGGAGGGACAGCACGAGGGTGAGCCTCCCAACTAGGTCAGCCACTTTTTAAGGGTTTTCCTTCCAGCCCTGTGAAATAATTCTGCCCTCCTCTCATTGGCCAACCTGTCTGAAGGCAGCAGGGAACAGAAGCCTCTGTGTTGGTGCCTATCACACCCAACAATGGAGGTTCTGTTCCACAGAGTGGTTCTGTTTCACAACATAGGTATCTGATGAGCTAGCACTCCTGGCCTTGGGACGTGAGGCTCTCAGCAGATCCCATCTCATTTAATCCTAACACTATCAAATCAGTTCAGAAAAGAACCTACAAGCTCACTCTATGCTTCCCCACTTTCAAGATTGTCTCCTGAACCATGAGCAGTGGGACAATGTTTAGCAAGGTGTTGAAACTTCCAAGAAGCCTAAAATAAGAAGTCATAGAGACACAAGAAGGTGGCAGGTTCAGGGTCCAATTCCCAGAAGTTGGACCAGCAGTAATGAGGAAAAAAGCTTAGGTTTCCAGACTTCAGTGCTGGTGAGGGGTTGGGTATCAGGTGAAATCTACAGCCCCCTTTAGTTAGAACAGAAGGAAAGAGCACACTAGTTTTCTCCAGAGTGCAGCAGACATCCTAGATACTCTCAGGGACAGGGGTTTGGTGCTAGAATTTGCAAGAATCGAGAGCACTGTGAGACAGCTGCTCTTTCATAGCCGGTCACGTTGGCTATCAGAATTACCAAGATGAGCACACACACTGGGGCTTGTGAGAGTTAAAAGCCAGCTCCAGCGTGAGCTGCAACGGCCCACCTCTGGAATGCAGCTAGCATTTGTACTTCCCAGGGGAGAAAATCTGATTGGCAGGGAGCTTCAGCCATCTGTCACTGCCTAATAAACCACCTAGAATTTAGCAGCTTAAAGCAACAATAGGCATTTGTTGTGCTCAGGAATCTGCAAGGTGGGCGGGGCTCGTGGGAACAGTTCCGTCTCTTGCACAGGCCTCCACTGGGCAGCTCAGGTAGGGCCAGGGTTGCAGGGTCAGAGGCTCACTAGCCCAGCTGGCAAAGGCATGGGGCTGTTGGATAAGAACCTGGCCAGGTGGCCATGCCAGGGGCCTTGGCTTCTACCCCAGGGGAACCCCTTGGACTTCAGCTTCCTCCGATGGTGGTAGCTGGGTTCCACAAGCAATTGTCCCAAGAGAACAGAATGAAGTGCACGACATTTTTATAGCCTCAGCTCTGATGTTCTACATCAATTCTACAGTACTTTGTTATTGTTATAAAGCCCTAACCAGGTTCAAAGGGGGAAGGACAGAAACCCTATCAGCCAGGGGTCACATGTCAGGGTCACACGGTGAGAAGAACAAGCGAGGTGGAGGTTTTGTTACTGGTGCTGTGGGAAAATTGTGCTCTGCCAACACTGATGTGTCTCTATGCAATATGAAGGAAGCAGTAGGTAATTGTGGGGATATTTGACCTCTCCCAAGGTCAGCACCCTTGTGGTTGTCTTTGGCTTGGACCTAAGTCCCTGGCCCAATAATCCATGCTAAGTGGTAGAACTAGTTTTACCAATTGCAGGAGGCAGGAACCATGGCATAGAATGAGTTAGAAGTGAATCAAAGGCTCTGGAGTCTGTGACCACTGTCAGCAGATGCCCCTGTGAACACCTTGAGGGCCAGGCTCAAGTCTTGGTCATCTCTGTGCCTTGAAAAGAGCAAGCCACTAGTGGGTGGTGAACAGTCATGGACAATCAGTCAGTTCGTGAGCTGAGAGACACTGCCTCCCGCTTCGGGCCGAGCAGTCTTTTCTTCAGTGGTTGCAGACTCTAATGATGGTGGTGTTCATCTCCCTGCCGTTTTCTCCCAAGGGTCCCAGTTTAACTGTCTATTCATTACCTCCCACCTGTGCATGCTGGTACCATTCTTAACTTTATTTTATATTGCACCACTGTCTATGCATTATATTTTTAGCTACCTCAATTCCAATATGAAGAGGCAGAGAACAATCAAAACTGAAGTAACAAGTGGGAGGGGCAGGAATAAATTGGTCCCCGTACGGAAGGTAAAAGACACCAGGGCAGTAGCCCAGCAGATCACCGATGCCCTCACGGCAGCTTTTTCTTCCTCAGCTCTGGCTTCTCTTC